GGCCAGCGTGGAGAAATCAACTGACAAAGAATTTTCATCGTATGCCAGTTCTACCTGCCGCAATTGCAGCAGCGAATCTACCGGCAAAGACCTGTTCATAACCCTGAACTCTGTAATGGTAATATTGGGGCGTGCGGTACTGATAGCCACCACTGAAGGATTAAAAACAATAAATTGCCCCGAAGATCCAAACAATAACCTTCCGTCGGGCAGTTTATACGAAGAGGACAGTACGAAAAAGTCATTGGTGATACCATCATCGCGGTTGAAGCGCACAAATACCCTGGTTTTAATATTGGCGCGGTACAGGGCTGCTGTGGTACTAATCCACAGGTTGCCGATGCTGTCCCGCTGCAGGCTGGCAATAAAACCAGACATGGTTTCTCCACTACCCAGTATCCGGGTACGTTTGTTGTTACGGTTATAAATAAGTACACGGGTAGGCGTAGTAATCACCATCAGGCTGTCGTTGTATTCCAGCACTGCAGCTACCCCTTCCTCTATCAGACGTTGTTCCTTTTTTGCTTTGTCGTGAAAATGCATCAAAATAGTATCATTTTCTGGATCTATCACATACAGCCCGTCTATTGAAGTAGCTACCCATACATACCCTTTTGAATCAATGGTGATATTGTTGATAGTTACATTGGAGATGGCATCAAACTTCGATATGCCCTCATCAAATTTGTTTTTCCCCTTTAGTGCATCCCATTTAAACAGCCCTATCTTCTGCATGCCCAGCCACAGGTTTCCTTTTCTATCTTCCGCAATCTGCCGCACGGTGCGGTTGGTGAGTGCCGGGGGATTGATGAATACAGCTGTACGCTGTTGCCGGCTATATTTATAGATACCTGGCTGGCAGGAGAACCAGGCAATATTACCATCGCTGGAAGGAAATATATCCCATACCGACACAAAGTTTCTATCCGGGATGCCTTTAATACCCAGCGGAATATTATTGAAGTTTTTATCGTAGCGGTAGATTCCGTCACCCCAGGTGCCCACCAGCAGGCTGCCATCCTTTTCCTGCAGATAAGAAAGCGGGTTGCCGTCGCCCAATGTGCCCGTGGTTCTGCTGGTATGCCGTATATTGGTAAAATATTCCTGTGAAGGATTAAAACGGAACAACCCGTTATTGCCGGTGCCTACCCAAATATTACTTTCCTTGTCTTCGCATAGTGCCGTGATTTGCCGGTAATCAATGCTTCTTTCGTTCTGGTACCCCGGCAATACCAATTCAAACTTCTTTTCTGCTTCAAGATAACGGCCAAATACTTTCAAGCCCATTATCCAGATAGTGCTGTCTTTCTGCTCAAAAAAGCCGTTTACTTCATTGTATGATTTGAAAATGGAGATGAACTCGTATTTTTCAAAAACAGGTTGCTGACTGCGCACATCATAACAATACACGTACGGAAAGCCGGTGCCCCAGCCACTAAACCAAAATCTTCCTTTGCTGTCAAATAAGAAATTGCAGGAGAATGCGATATCGCTATACCGGTCTATGGCAGACTCATGCTCAATATTGTTACCCTTGTAACTCAATTGGCCGGTTTCCCTGTTGTAAATGGCCAATCCGCCACCCTGCAAAGCCATCCAGTATTTTTGTGTGCCGGGCTGCTGTGCAAAAGCAGTAAAACCCCAGCCCTCTTTTATAGGAAAAAAGTTACTTGCTTCCGACAACTCATTGGTTTTTTCATTCCAGGTTAATATTTCATGCCCGCTAATCAAAAGAAAAATATTACCTGCATCATCTTTCAGCAATTTTTTAATAGAAGTAGGAAGCACTGAAGCGTTCTTCACCTTTACGGCTACTTCACGAAACCTGAATTTGCTGGTGCTGAATATACCCACACGGCCATTGTTGGCCAGTACCCATAGGTTTTTTCTTTTGTCTACCAGTAATTGTGAAATTGCATTGGCCGGGATAGTGGTTGAGTCGCCCGGTTTGTGCTGAAAATTCTTATACCGGGAGCCGTCAAACCGCACCAAACCGTCGGTTGTGCCTGCCCATATATAGCCGGTTTCATCCTGCACCACTGTATTTACCTGATTGGACAGCATGCCCGTGGCCGTGCTGTAATGACTAAATGTGTATTGCCTGGGGGGTTGCGCCCGCAGGTAAAATGCAGTTAGCAGCAGCATTAATATAAGACGTATCTGTTGCAAGAAATGTTTTTTCAGATTTCCAAATGTACCAAACACTTGCTTCAAAACCGGCCGCCTGATGCATCAAAAACAACAATTCATACAGCCTTTTTACCGGTTCATCATGTGCTGTATGCTGCAAGCCTGTAACCGCGCCTTTACAGCCAATGCAGCAAAAGCAGCAATTCATACATATGGGCACTGCCATTGCATGAAAACAGCAATAGGTTTGTACCAACAATTAAACCTTACTATATGAGTACAGTGCTTAATCACATAAAGGGCAAACGCATACTGTTTGCCAATTTCCCGGCCGACGGACATTTTAACCCGCTCACCGGCCTGGCAGTTTACCTGGCCCGGCAGGGGTACGATGTAAGGTGGTATACGTCTAAAAGCTATGCTGCCAAACTGCAAAAGCTGCAGATACCCCATTTCCCTTTTAAAAAAGCAGTAGACGTAAGCAACGGTGATTTTGATACTGTGTTCCCGGGCCGCACAAAAAAGAAAACGCAGCTGGGAAAATTGAAATTTGACATCCTGCATGCGTTTATACTCCGCGCACCGGAATATTATGCAGACATCCTGGATATCTACCAGCAATTTCCATTTGATATTATGGTAGCCGATTGTGCTTTTACGGCTATTCCGTTTGTAAAAGATGCCATGCGTATACCTGTGGTGGCCATCGGGGTTTTACCTCTTATCAGTTCATCAAAAGACCTGGCGCCCAATGGCCTGGGCATGGCACCCTCTTATACCGTTACCGGAAAAATAAAACAGGCGCTGCTGCGTGTATTAGCCAGCAAGGTGCTCTTCAAACACGCCAATAAGTCAATGCGGCAGCTGCTGGAAGAATACCATATCCCGCATCACAAAGAAAATGCCTTTGACATTATGGTAGAAAAATCCGACGTTTTTCTGCAAAGCGGTGCCCCAGGTTTTGAATACAAAAGAACTGATATGCCAAGGCATGTGCATTTCATTGGCCCTTTGCTACCGTACCAATCCGACGATTACACTATACAATGGTTTGATGAAAGACTGAACCGTTTTAGAAGAGTGGTGCTGGTAACCCAGGGTACGGTTGAGAAAGACATCAACAAAATAATTGTGCCCACGCTGGAAGCTTTTAAAAACAGCAATACCCTGGTGGTATGCACCACCGGCGGTTCGCAAACAGCTGAATTAAGGAGGCGGTATCCGCAGCAGAATATCATCATAGAAGATTTTATTCCTTTTAACGACGTAATGCCTTACGCAGATGCCTGTATTACCAACGGTGGCTATGGAGGTGTAATGATGGCTATCGAAAATAACCTGCCACTGGTGGTGGCAGGCATACATGAAGGCAAAAACGAGATCTGCGCCAGGATTGGCTATTTTAAACTGGGCATCAACCTGAAAACAGAAAAACCGATACCCCAGCAAATCCGCCAGGCCGTGGATGAAGTGATTGGTAATCCGGAGTATAAAGAAAACACAGCGGCGCTGGCTGCAGATTTTCAATACTATGATTCCACTGCTCTTTGCGCCGCCCACATTGGCCGCCTCCTGAAAAGCAATATTATCAGGAAGGCCAGCAGCAAATGGATACTGCAAAAATCCTCTTACGCCTATGGCAATTGATACGGTAAAACAGCAATCCAATCGACCTGTGTTTGCTGCTGTACATTCTTAATATAACATTTATTATTAAACAAATTACCCATCCTAAAATTATATTGTATGCAACGTTATAACATTTTCTACCTTGTACACAAAGGCTTGCGGCAAATGCTTTACCAGACCGCCAGTCATTTACAGCAAACCGATTTTACCAATACAGAAGAAACCGGCAGTCTGCTGCAGCAAATAGCAGATGTGCTTGACCTGTTTGACGAACACGCCAATACAGAAGATCATTTTGTTTTGCCTGCCATTGAAACCCATGAGCCAGCCGCCAGCTCCATGTTTGAAGAGGAGCATGTGCAGGACCACACCCTGAGCAACCGTATGCGGGCCCTGCTGAATATGTTTCACCATGCGGTTTCTTCAGACGAAAAGAACGAAATGGGTAGCGCCATAAGACTGGCGTTTTCAGAGTTCCTGGTATTTAATATCCAGCATATGGCCAAAGAAGAACGGCTGCTCAATAATTTTCTGTGGCAGCATTATACCGATGAACAGCTGGAGTCTGTTACCCAGCAAATCCTGGCGCATCTTCCACCGGATATAATTATGAAAAACAATACCTGGATGATGCGCGCACTCAGCAACGATGAAATTACCGGCTGGTTAAAAAAGATAAAAAACCAGGCCCCGGAGCCCGTATTTGAAAAAATGATTCGTCTTGCAGAAAAAGAGCTGACGCCCACCCGCTGGCACACCGTGCAGGAAGACATGACTGAAGGCGCCCTGCTGGCATAAACATCAATAGCACTAAAATTATTCAAATTTTTATCATGAAACAGTTATCTTTTATCAACCGCCTCCGTATAGGCAGTATCGGAATTATTCTTATTGCAGCCAGTCTGGCGCTTTTCTCCTTCACATCAAAAAAAATAGCAGGAGACTTTTTGCAGCAACTGGGTATTTCAAAAGCCAGTGCCGATGAAAAAATAACCAGCAGCCTGCTGGGTGGCTATCTTGATCAGTATGGACTTAAAAATGCGAAAAATATTGCGCTCGGTGACAGGGCCGCGGTAGCCAGCAGCCTGCTGGCCTATACAAAGCAATACACGGGCAGCGAAGCTTTTCAAAAAGAATACCGGCAGCTGCGCGAAAACAACAAGCCGCAATCACAGAACGTTCAGACTCCGGAAGAAATGCGCACCGGCATGATTGAACAGTATAAAAAAAGCCTCACCGAAACAGAAACCAATATGAAAAAGTCAGATGCTTCTATGAAGAACATATTTGAACCCATTATAGCAACCATAAAGCAGCAATTGAAGGAGGTGGAAGATCCCAATAACAAAATGATAGCCAACTATAAAAAGAATTATCCTGAAATGATGAAATCACTGGAGGCTGCCAACAAACAGCGGCTGGCAGAATGGGAACAGAAATACCCCAGCAATCATCAGCTTTTCATAAAGTTGCGGCTGCAGCAGTTCCTGGAAGAAACCGGCAATATAGATTTCGGCGCACAGCTGGTTGAAAAAAATGGTAAAAAATATTTTGCCAATCCCGCTTACGAGCACATGGGCAACCGCTGGAAACTGGCTTTTCGTGCCGGCAAAGAAGTGGTTGAACCTACCAGGGTTTTTGTACAAAAATGGATAGATGAGATAAAATAGATCAGGAATAAAAAAAGGAGCTTTGGTTAAGATCCTTTTTTTATCTATTTTCTGCAGTTTAATCTTTATTCCGTCCAGCTTCTCCAGGATAGAGATTTTTTACCGGCTCGCTTTGCCAGAAACGCTTGCTGTCAATGTCCATAATGCTGAGCTTACCCGTAAAAGCAGCACCAGTATCTATATTCCAGACATTGGCACCCTGCATGGGAATGGTTTCATTAAAATAAAGCGTCGGGGTATGGCCGATATAAATTTCTTTAAACAGCTTCAGTCTTTTGGGGAACAATAATGAATCAGGGGTAATTTTTTTATCCAGCGTAAGGGCCATTTCCCAAAGGGTCCTGTCCCAGCTGAAATTAGAGGAATGAAATTCTTTCTCCGGTCCATGCATAGAGGTAAAGCCCGCATGAATAAACAAGCGACGCTGCTGATCGGTAAAAAACATTTTCATTTTCTCAAAAAACTGCAGGTGCTGCAGACGTGCCGTGGCAGCTACTCCTGCGTAGCTTTTAACAGTAGCTACGCCGCCATGAAAAAGCCAGGTTTTATCTGCCTGCCCGGTACGCAACCAGTCCTCACACCATTCGTCATGATTTCCTTTTATAAAAATACACGGCTGCCGGTCTGAAAGCTGCATCACATAATCA